AATTATCTACAATTAAACTCTATGTATCAATTTTTTGTATCTTTTTGTGAAAAGCCCTGTTTCTTTTATAATACTAATAAACATATTAAAATCTGTAAACAATTTATTACGAAAAATATTACATCGCCCGGGAATGGAACCCTTCAGATTTCTTGCATTCGAGAAATTTAGCTTTTAAGGATATAAATACCATTTCGCAAAGCTCTTTAATTTATATTAGGGCAGAATGTACTCATTATATAAAATTGCTAATTAACACTTTTTTTTTATGAATTATATATAAATAAAACTTTTTTAATAAATTCTCCCCTGTGTGTGTGTACGAATATTTTGTACGTTCACTCTGTATAGATTGTCTTAAGAGGAAAGATTGACAAAATAAAATAATTCAAAGTGATAAATTCAATATGAATAGAATTTTATAAAATTATTTGATTATCATAAAACTTGATTTTAGAGAGTTTTTAATTGCGAAGTAATATCAAATTTTCAATTTTGCTTTATTTGAAACTCATTAATGCTACGTAAACAGTCAGTGTTCTGAGAGGTGATGGTATTGATCATTTTAAATGAACATTCACATACGAACGTATGCCCTATTCCGAAAGGTTTCCGAAGTTAAATATGCAATTATAAAATTATTGTTAAGAAAGAGATATCCCGTATTTTTTCTAATAATTTATTGTTCAAGTACATTTTTTTAAATTTATAATAAATTTATAATAAATTTTAAAACATTCCACCGTTCAAATTATTTATAGACCGTGAAGTATTTAAACACAAATATCAGAGAAGAAAGCCATTTCTGGTCAAAGCGAATCTTATGTCCGTATCAGATTGCGGATTGACGCTTATCCGGTCCTATTTCACAATGAAGCGAGTTCATCGTAGTTGGCTAAAATAGAACCGGACAATTATCAATCATACTCTACAACTCGTAGATCTGATATAGAATTTGTCATAAATCAATTACAAAACTGTATTAACATCCTAAAATATTAAGCGATCTTGAAATAAGAATGGACTATGAATGCTGGTCTTGATGCTGACAATTAGTAATATTCATATGTGCATACAATACAATTATCAGTTCTATAGATTGAGTGTCGATCCGATTTATCATATTTGAAAATATATCTATATAATTATATAATTATATAATTAAATTAATAGTTCATCGATTTAATGAAATACTACATTAAGAAATTTGTAAATACAACTTATTGTAGAAAACGTATATCACTTCAGCTGAAATTTCGAATCCATTCAAACCAAATTGATATTGTTTATCACATGTCGCCTTAAAAAAAAAAAAACCGCGCACGCACACACACACACACACACACACACACACACACACACACACACACACAACACACACACCTATAAAAATACATCATAAAACCGAACGTGGTATATTTTTAAAAAGAAGAACGTATAAAAAGAAGAGCATAAGAAACCACCGTACAAGTTATAGTTTGTGATATTTAATTATCATTACATTAATTAAAACATTAAACATTTCAGCCACAATCTGGCCATCTTCAGTAAATTCATAATATTCTTAAAAAGACAAGATACAAAAAGAGCATAAAGAACCACACCACAGGTTATAATTTGTGATATTTACTTATTATTATATAAATTAAAACATTAAACGTTTCGGCCACAATCTGGCCATCTTCAGTAATACAATAGTCTTCATAAACCGCAAAAATACATTTAGTTGAAATTAAATTCAACAGTCCATTATTGTAATACAAATGACATGTTCTTTTTAGTATGAAGATGCTTCGTACAAAATGTTATAACGCCCATAGTCATATCAAGAAGTGTAGAACAAGAATTTCCAGATTCTGATTAAATTTAAATTTATATGTCATTAATTTCTCCTAGTCGAATATAAAGAAGTATAATCGTTACCTGTTTTACAGCCAAAAAGGAAAATAAATATCTGGCAGACTTTCCGTGTCACTTTGTTTATTGATACCTCTTATTTGTCTTTTTATGTGTATCATTTCGGAAATTCTTCTTTTTATTAAAGATTGTTCCTTGTCTAAAACTTTTATGTTTTCC